TTTTCAGAGAGTTTTGTAATATTTAGCTTTCTTTCTAGCAAGCTTCTGCTGAACTTTAGTAAAGATGTGCCTCTTTCACTGGGGGGGGGGGCGAGGGGGTGGCAGAGGCTTGCACAGTGAACGATACGGCCAGAAGCAAGGGAAGAGATGGTGAGCACGTGGTCAGGAGAGGTGCAGCAGAGACATGCACTGTTTTGGCCCATCCTGCCACTTCTTTACTTAATATGATTGTTTCATCAGGGTGGATAATAGCAGCAGTGTGATTAATTTTGCAACTTGTTTCATAAACGCCTCTAGTCTTCCCCCTATGTTATCACTCCGTACTGCACATGAGCGTTTATCACAAGTAAGGGGACAATCACAATTTTCAAATTGGGTAGCAAATGTACCCTGAAATTATGTACATGCTTGTGTATTTATAACTGAAACAATATATTAAATGCATAGACATACTCTCCTCAGAGAAGTCAGTGTAAATAAAGTACAGTTCCACATACATCTGTACCTAAGACTTAAAGAGCTGTCAGTTGTGCTTCTTTGGTCCTTTATTACTGACCCAAAACAAAGCCTCCGAGCTGCAGGTGATGTCAGTTTATTTGCATTTTTCTAATGCTAAACACACAACAGCCATTAATAAATAGTGAAAATTCCACTCAATATATAATGAATGCATGGGTGATTGAATGAATTCCTATTTTCTTGTCCACTGACATTAATTGCCAAATGTTTGATTTTCAGTAACTGCTTTAGGTCAGTGTTTAAGTAAGTAGTGTTTTGAGATGACTGTGATCTGACGGGAATGAGGTCACCAGTCATACAATGAATGCCTGGTACACCAAGGCATTCTTATCCTTGGTGGTACATCTTATAGTTCACAGGCCATGTGTAGGTCTGTAACCATGTTGTAAAGAACAAGGACCCAGATAGGAACAAAGGCATTGGTGTCTTTAGGGTTCTGGCATCCCTGTGTTCCAGTTCTTTACTAAAATTTGTCAGCTGCAGGAAGGCGTAGGGTTCAGGAGAGAGAAATCACCCTCTAGGACTCCGAAGAATGATTTTTCTTTGCAAAATTATATTCAGTTGTTTATGTGTTTACTATTACTCTGCGTGGGGGAGTCTCATTGGCTGGGATACAAATTTATTAGTAACTCCAAAATATTTCTAGTACTGTGACTTCACTACTGTGAAGATTAAGTGAATTGTTTACTTTCCTGTAAGTCCTACTAGCAATAGTGATGAAACCTGCCTGGACTAAAGTTTTGTTTGGATTATTTTACATTCTATTTGAGATAATTAAGATGAGATAGTACTTTACTAGGAGAAATTATAATCATGAATAGGATTCTAAAACATGTGCTTGGATGTGTAATAGTATACCTTTTGCATATTATTGTATGAATTATATTTTCTGGCATTATTGTACATGAACCCTTGGTATTTTTCTCAAATAATATTCTACCAACCTCTTGGTATTACCGAAGAGTATTACACAGTGTTATTTAATGTGAGGATAGAGAAGCATAAAATATCACCAATATATGTCAACAGTTTTGTACCTTAACTTTATGAGATAGAAAATGTGTATATAGAATTATATGGTTAAGTTTCAGCTTCACAAATTACATTTCACCAATGTCTTATTAAACTTCTTGTATAAATGAAAAGTATACATGTTGAATGCAAATACATGGGTTCATTAGAACTTTTCTAAAGCTTAGTTTTCCCTGTGAGGTTACTGATTATACTATCACATTGAAGATGTTAAGAAATTTTTGAAATATTTATAATGAATTGTTTAAATGTCAAAAATGGCCTCCTACCAGTCAAAACACGCTTAAATGCTTACTTAAGTGCTTGCCTCATGTTTATTACAGACAAACTTGGAACTAAATAGTTATGTAAGATTCCTCTTAAAGTTCACTTTATGTAGTAATAAGATAATTATGATGCATGCTATTTTCAAATATTTCAACTGGCAGCATCATTTAGCAATTGGACAAATAATTTAAAAGGAATTGATTTCCTCACTGGTTGGTGTTGAACTTGCTAAGAATGGTATATCTTCTATTGCTTTCTTCACTTTGAAAATTAGTACATAATACACATATATGTATGTACATTATATACATATATACACACATATATGGTGTATATATAATTAATTTTAAAAAATTAAATGTATATTTTATTGGTAAAAATAATGGGTAATTATGCTAAGCATTACAATTTTCCTAAATAAGAAACTAGAACTAAAAAAGTCAAAAATAAAAACCACATTTGCTCTTTGGTACAAGTAATCATGATTGTAAGAATGCATTCATTAATAAGCAGTCTACCACCAGATTTTATAGTAAGGGTTTCTAAATTTTCATCTAGTCGAGTGAAAAATAATGGGAAAGAGAAATTGATGTGAATAGTAAGTTGTATACTTTATGAATAATCTGCATTTGGTGTACTATGGCAGTAGTAAATTATTCAAAGAACCAAAATGTGAAGTAATATTATATAATGAGTCAAATTGTTTAGATAACTCCCAGCATATAGGGTCAAGCACGTGGATTTTTATCAATCTTCCATTAGCCTGGTCACACAAGGAAAGAGAATGAAAGGGCAATTTTGAATGACATTTCTGTCAGCTTTGGACCTGTCGACCTTGGGGCTTTTTCGTTTTTCTTTTCAAGATTTATTTATTTATTCGCACAGAACTGGGGTACAGGCCAGAGATGCAGAGGGTGAGAGGATTCACCAGGGACAGAGTGGGGAGCAGAACAGGCAGATCAACGAAGTACACTGCTGAGGGGAGCAGCAGGTGGGTCAGAAGAGGTCTGCCACGCCATGTGGTCAACTCCGGGGCAGGTGGGATCGAACCCACGCGGAAGTGGCCTAAGCTTCTCAGTGCAGCACTTCAACCCACTGCGCCACCAGGGAGGGCCAGGGCTTTTTCGTTTTTCAACATCTGTGCTGCCTTGATTGGGAAAATTAAAAGTTCCAATGGGTCTCTTGATCTCATAAAAGTTTCAGGTCATTTTCCAGTATGTGTGCAGAAAGCTAAAGACACCTTACCCCTCAACCTCATCTTCATCATATTCTCACACACTCTTTCCTTTGTTCATAAATCTCTTTGTTGTAACTCTGTATGGATTATTTCTTTTATTTTTGCACCTATAATTTGTCTAGGTAGCACCCATGACTTTTTCACAGCCTAATAAATTTTTAAATAATCTCCCTTATATGGCATATGATTGGGAATGATTGGTGTAAAATCAGAGGATTGACAATTTGCCTTTCTAAGAAGTCCACAGCTAATGCTGAACCACATTTTGAGAATCACTTATCCATACTAAAGAACAGGAAAAAGGGGACACAATACTCCTAGGTTTCTGGCAACTGTAGCATTAAATAGAAGCATCATAACTGATCCTTCAATTCAGCCAACCCATGTCACATTGAAAGATCTGGCAATAAATTTAACCATATTTTAAAATACTAAAGTAAATGCTTCAAAATTATATTGAGCCATTCATAGAATTATCTTACTTCATCTTCTTCCAAGATTTTGTGAGTTCATATTAATTGGATATAATGGTCATTAATTTATTGTGCATCTACATGATTCTATATTGCCATTTGAATCATTTTATGGATTTTCCAGTAACTGTTCTTTTCTCTCAAGTACAATGCAGAATTGAAAAAAAAAAAAAGTTCAGTACTTTTCCTCAATGCTAATGGGTTTCCCTGGGTGCAACTGAACATGAGATCTAATCATAATAAATCACTTTCACAATTATAAACTTGAACTAGAGAGCATATTACATCATTTTACCATTTCTGTATGGTGACTTGTTTCTGAGTTTTTGGTAAACAGGAACATGTCTGTGCACTCTGTGGTTCCATGTCACGCCCACATCACTGGCTTCAGACTGACTCACTCTCAACAAGTTAGCCTGCTACCACTGGGAGACAGTTTGTGTTCTCATGGGGAGGAACCAGCTTTGTCTACCATAGCTAAATGAAATTGAACAGAAGGTAAACAATTAAGGTAGAAACAATTGATACAGTATCTCAACTTTAGAGTACAGAAAAGGGATTAAATCATATTGCAATGAAATAAAAGTGATGTACTCTTAATATTATCTGAATCTTATGAATGACATGGTTGAAATCTTAAAAATGGTGTCCATAAGTTTTGTGTATGTAATTAAATAAGGATTAACATAGGTATTAAATAGAATGTAAACAATGTAAACTGGGTGTTGTTCAAGCACAGAATAATTGGGAATCACTGTATGTGGTGAATTTACAAAGTGCAAACCCTCATGCCACCATATGGTATGCTGTAAGGAAAATCTGGGAAATTGGGATCTCAAAAATATAACGTTAAGTGTTTCAGCCAGTGTTTCATGTAAATAAATAGTATATGTTAGGATAATGTTAATTATGTTTACTTTCATTTTTTGACTCAAATCCAAAAGTTATTTATCTGAAATTTCAGAGAAAAGATTAGTTTCTAAAAAGTTAGTCTTTTTGTATTTAACCTGGAGAGCAGTTGTGATGCCTGGTGCAATCCACTTAGTTCTTCCTTTGGATGCTCTAGGCGCTCTGCCTGAGACCCAGGAACAAATGTGCTTGGGACTCAACCCTGGAGGTTGAACAAAATCTATTTATACTGTGGTGATATATCACCTTGGGATTGTCTTTCACTAAAAACAATACAAAGAACATCTTTTTAAAAGAATATTTCTTATAGGAAACATCATTTTTGAGCTTTTTGGATACTTGAATGCATGTGTTCTTTTCATATACAAAAGGTGTTTCAGGCTATGTAGTTGAAGGCGACATTGTTGACAGCTAACCAGACATGGTAATGTTCAGAATGAATGTTAAGATCAACTGATTGGTAGAGTGATTTGATGGGAAATGACAGGCTATATATTTGTGTTTTTCTGAGCATTTTTATCAGCCTTTCCTTACCACAGCTCATGTTCTAATGATCATTGCAGGATGAAGTGGCACAGCCACTGAACCTATCAGCCAAACCCAAGACCTCTGATGGCAAATCACCCACATCACCCACCTCTCCCCATATGCCAGCTCTGAGAATAAACAGTGGGGCAGGCCCCCTCAAAGCCTCTGTCCCAGCAGCATTAGCTAGTCCTTCAGCCAGAGTTAGCACAATAGGTAAGTTCTGCTTCTTTTGTTCTTGATGATTTTTGCTTTATGGAAAATGAATGGAATCTTTTGTGGCAAATCACGCATACCCTGTGCATGGCTTTGGTTCCATAGGAGAGTTTCAATCTGATGAACCTCAGATCTGATTTAAAACATGCAAATGAAATTTATAACTGAAGTACATATTGACGTGTTTGTGTTTATTGATGTTAAAGATATTGTAAGACATTAAGTTATTTTTTTTAAAAAAAGGCCTAAATTAGTGTTTCCAGAATGTTGTTAGAGGACTTGCCTTCACCATCACTGAAGTTAATGTCCATTTTTGTAATGAGTACAAAGTCTATATGATGATAAAATACATTCTGTCTGCATCCAGTCTTCTGTCAGGATGTGAACTTTCTTCCATTCCATATTGCTTGATACTTAACTTGAAAGCACAAAGGTATTACAAAACGTGGATGCTTCAGTTTTCATAATTGTTACTGAAGTAGAACAAATGCTTATTTTGTAAGTTAAAACTTTTTAATTCAATAATTTTAATTTTATTGATGCAAAGTAGGTTGTAAACGCTTGCTTCCACCTGCCTTCACTGGTATGTGTGTTTTTTGCATATTGTTATATGGAAGCTGGTACAGATCAGCTCTAGCTGGGAAAAATGAGAATGGGTTAGTTGTAGGAAGTGTTACTCCAGAGCACCAGCCCCATCCTGTAGTCAGAGAGGAGAGTGCTGGATTCTATTTGGGAAGGATTCCAAAGGTAAAGTGAAGAGGGCTGAGTTCAGATGTAGCTTTGAAGAAGAGATAATGTTGTAAGGCACTATAGGCTGTATGGGGAAGGGGAGAGGAAGGAACGGAGAAAACAGCATCTTTTTTGATACACTGATTTGGCTGAAATGTAAATTGAGTGTGGAGTGGAAAGTGATCAGAACTAAAACAGAAAGGGGCAGATGGAATCTGATTGAATGCTATCCTAAGATATTTTGACTTTTTCCCTGACAGCAATATGAGAAGAATTCTCAGATTATTGGCAGCAGTTAGAAATAGGAATCGGGGAAACCATTGTTTTAGAGTTGGGCAAGAATGAGCTGCAAAAGATGGAAATGCACGCAATGATAAAGCAGAGACTAGGTTGAAGGGGTATTATTGAGAAAAAACTAATACAACTTTCCTGGAGTAGAAAGTAACCTGGCAAACTTCAAGTTGGATTTGCAGGATTCTAGGATTCTGAATTTACAAAATAAGAATAGTGCCTCCCTTAACCATGAGAGAACTAGAGTAGAAGCAGGTGTGGAGGACCATGAAATGATTTAGCAAGAGTTTAATTTGAACCACAAGGCACCTTTAGATAGAAATATCCAGGATAAATCTGTAAATATAAACCTGATATGTAAAAGAAGGGATAGAATTGTAGATTTGGAAATTATTCCTTAATAGGCTATTGAAGCCACCAAACATTTGCTCACTGAAAAAAGGGTGTGTATGGTAAAGGAGGGATGAAGAACTGTAACTACTGAGCCCTCCCTGGTGGCGCAGCAGGTTAAAGCGCAGCACTATGAAGCTATCTACAGCCACTGTAGCATAAGTTTGATCCCTGGCTAGGGAGGTGACCCACATGGCACAGCAGACCTCTCCTGTCCCGCCTGCTGCTACCCTCAACAGTGTATTTCAGTCCATCTGTCTGTTCTGTTCCCCATTCTGTCTCTGAAGAATCCTCTCACCCCCTGCACATCTGACCTACACCCCACTCCCTGCATGCACAAATAAATATTTAAAAATAAGAAGAACCATACTTACCAGTAGTCTGTTGCTCTGTAACAGAGCAACCTAAACAATCAACATTTACTGTATCACAGTTTGTAAGGATCAGGAATCAGAAAGATCTTAGATAGGTGTGTCTGACTAAGGGTCTCTCTTTGATTGCAGTCAGGAGGTTTGCTGGTCTTCTACCTGTTACTTCACTGGGGATGGATGACCTTTGACCTAAGTGACTCATTTATATGGCTGTTGGCTTAAGGTCCCAGTTCTTTGCCATGTGAGTCTTTCCATAGGGCTGTTCAAACACACCAGCCAACCTCTCCCAGAGTAAACAAGCCAAGACTGAGAGCAAGCCATGGTGCTTTCTGTGCTTGGCTTCCAAATTCACACACAGTTAGTTCTGCTTTATTCTTTTTATGATAAGAGCATCACTAAGTGCAGCCCAACACAGAAAGGAGAATTAAGCTCCAACTCTGAAAAAAGTTCTTTGTGCATGCTTTAAAGCCCATCTTACATTTTTAGGGGGGAAATTGATAAAATGCAAGTGAGTACCTTAGATTAAGAGTGAAGATAAGGTAAGAGAGATTGTGAAATAGACATAAAGAAAGTTGGAGGAGTGTATTTCAAATGCTTCAGTCTCCACAAAGTGAAATCCAGATGATTTGCTAAGAGGAGGTCAGTATGGGGCAGTGGGGCTGGAGTGAGAAGAGAAACAGTAGAAAGTTAAGTTTGGTGCTAGAGGTGTGTGTTGGAGTACCATGCAGTGTTCTTTACATTCTTACTCATAGTCACTCTGCTCAACATCCTAAATGAACAAAAAGGGAGAACATATTTTTGTGTCCCCTGCATGTGGGAGAAAAATAATTTCTATAAAAATAACTCACTTCCATAATATACATGAAGGTTCATAAATATCACGTGGTTGGGATAGGAGCTCCTTTCTATTGCTGTCACTAGAATAAGAATATTTAACTAAAAAATAACTAATATGGCTGCATTTTTACCAGATGAAGAATTTTTACTTCAGCATCCACAGATTAAGTATGACAAAATATTTTAGCAAAGGAAGAATGTATTTAATCACATTTATCATTTCATTTTCTCCACTGCTAATATTTTTTTTTCCCCAGAAAAGTTCCTTCATCACATACACATACCTCATATTTTCCCAGGATTTAAGGCCACCACAATTTACTTTTCTCTTTTCAACAAATGCAGATGTTGAAAGCTGAAACTGTAATGAGTAATAATGTAGTTGGATAAAAGCTGAGCATTAATGGTGTTGTAAAGGTCACCCTGAAATAAGAATTAATGTGTTATGCCATTAATAAAGCATGGGAAACTGTGAACAAAGATAACTTAAGTTATTGTTAATGACATGGGCTCTTTGCTATATGTCTATTAGCTACAAATATAGAAGTGAGTTTTTGAGGCTGGTGACCAGCATCACAGTGGATTCTGTAAGAGCACCTTTGATATGGTACAGACGACAGGCAGCTCCGCAGAAGGGAGCTTTAAACATAGCAAACAGTTCAGGGAAGAATGACAGATAATTTTGACCAGTTGTTATCTTTCCTTTGTTAGCCTTTTCCATCAATGATGTACATATGTATAGAATGAGAGTAAGTTGCAAAAAGTAGAAATAGATTTTTTCAAAGCATTTTTAATCTGTTTTCAGTGCAGCTAATTTTAGAATTACAGATCCTTAACTAGATGAAGCAGATATCCGTATTGTCTAGGATTTTGAGCAAGTTCCTGTCCCAGCAGCAACAATTCTTTGATTCCTAAGTCCATTTTAATTTCAAGAAAAAGAGTAGATGGAAGCCTGGTAAGACCTTATTAAGACCTTATTTCATGGTCTCAGGGCTGACAAGCTTTCTTTCTAGTTGCTTATGAAATCCCTCTGCAATAATCTCCTCAGTCATTTATTCCTTTGTCTCACACATCCAGTAAAGAAGCATTAAGTATCTTCTGTGTGTCATATTTGCCAAGTGTGGAGGATAGGCAGGTGAAGTCTTAGGTTGAGGCTTTGAATGCCCGCAGTCTTGGCTTTACCTTTTCTTTGGAAGATACTGGAACGTACTGTCCCTTGATTCCTCAGGAGCAGATGTCATAGCTTCACAGTGATTCAATAAAATGAAGGAAAAGGTTTTCAGATCCATTAATTTGATACTTTGTAACTTGCTAATTTAAGATGACATGAAAGAGGATGTTACCTTGATACTACATTTTCATTTATATTTATATGGAGAAAAACTTCTATGAAGGTTAGTGATTGAACAAAGGTATTGTTACAGTTTCATAGAAAGCTGCTGTAGCGTTACCAGAAGTTAGATGTTTTATTTAACATCTGGCAATTAATATTTGCTTACTAGTAGCCTTATAATTTACAAATTGCTTTAGGGTTTATTATTTGATTAATTCTTATGAACTTTCTTAAAGACATGGCTACATATTAATCTGCCAAAAATATGATAACTGACTTTAAAAATAGAAAAAATATTTGTGGAAAGTAATTGAAAGACACGTCCTTCTCTCTGTGTTGAAAAGGCCTATGTAAAACAGGCATGCAGTAAGGAAGAATTTGTATTACCCTGATAACATCTTTCATACATGGATTCCAGCAAATTTAAATTTGTATCATGATCAGCAGCCACTGAGATGGTGATAGATCATCAATGAGCTTTGGAATCATGATAGTGGATATTTGCAACTTGGAAATGTCCAGTCTTCTTCTTTTTTTTTTTTTT